GGCTTAATTACGGCATTTCGCAAGACATTCTTAATCATCTAAATCAGTACCTTGCCCCTGTTCTGGCACAGGGCTATTATGAGCAATTAGAGGTAATTAGTCCAAATGTTCGGGCTAATTCCTCAGAATAATGAGGACACTTTGAAGTGGCGGGTATGAGGCTACCGAGCTTTGTTATCGAGGCTTCACGTTGTTGTTCATGAATTGATTGGCGCATGATGTAATCCAGAGAAGAGCTTCACACGGGGAAACATAAGTTTGTGCAATTAAAACAAAAAGGAGAAAGTTACTGTTATCATTTAGCATTTAAACAAATACCAATAAATAAGTGTTCTGTAAATGTTAACATAAAAACATCACAGGGAAAGCTTCACACTGTATTTACAACCATGCACCTCGATGGAAAAAAAATGGATTAATCAAACGCAAAAAGGTCACATTATATCTGCTAATGAGCCACCAATTTAACTAAACATGTGCATGAAAAATATCCACAGGTTTCTCCATTGCACACATCTTAAAGGGCGTATAAAATAGATCAAATTATGCAACATTATAGTTGTTTTACATTCAAGCCATGAAGACGAACATTTGGGGTCCACTTTAATATAATGGAAAATGCCATCATTGGTCAATAACTAAAGCCTGCATACTATCCTGCATCCTAAAACAGTCCCTATTAAATCTCATTTTTACAGCTCAAAGGTTTGGCCACATTTTGTCTCGACAGAAATTAAGGATTTTTCCCCTCAAAACTTTTTCTGAGTTTTTCCTCTATTGTGACATCTTATACAACTCTTGTTCTGCAGGACATGAGCTGCAGGAGAAAAATAGACTCTGAGAAGAAGGTGAGAAAACTAAGAAGAAAAGCTTCAACATCACACTTATGGGTGGCAGGGTGGACTACATCTTATTCATTTCTAAAAACAGACCAATCACCTAACATTTGGAAAGTGTTATGATGTAAAAAGTTATGCTGCATTCATTACACAAATAATAATTCATCGCTTCCTTTTACCCTCTATCCCAAGGGACTGTAAATCATAAAGGGTCAATAACTTGACTCATTAGAGGGCAAATAGTACGGAGGCCATTTTTCTGCAGCCAATCAGCAGCAGCAGAGCAGTGGGGATTCAAAGAGAGTAAGGCATGGTGGTGTTTTCTCTGTTTAGTGAAGCACGGCCCCTAGTGGAACAACAGCTGCCTCCATCCAAAGAGTTACATCACCCCGTTGGGTCTCATTTACTGCAGGAAGGGAGGAGTGATACAGTGTGTTAGTGCGCCCTCTAGTGGAGAGCTGGATCATAACAATCACTTTCAAGTATCAGGTGAAGATGGGAAACACTATCGATGTACTTCATATACTGTATTTACAGACAAGATAGCTATCATTACTTAATCACATGATATATTAGTGTGGTGTTTACATACACTGTACAAAATGTGCTGCAAATACTCACAGCACTGTCCCTTTTGCCCTATAATGTTATCTCTATTTGCCATTGCCTTGTTTCCATCTTTACTATTATTCTTATTTTATGTTTATGTAGCTGTTGCTTTGATATTGTTCAAAATATATAAAAAGTACTAAACATTTTTTTTGTGTTAGTCACAACAGGTGCCATTTTCATGTCCAGCATCAGTTTTGCATATTCGAAGGTGTGTTTCTCAAGCAGCTAAATGTGATGTTACAAAACCTTTGTTGAGACTGATTTTAGGGCTGACTGTGGCTGTGAGGTAGAACGGTAAGTAGTGAGTTTTTGGGTTCGATACCGGCCCCTGAAGTCAACATGTTAGATGTATGGCTGGCTGCTAAATCCTCAGAACTGTTACAGGATGTGTATTTTGTAAATTGTGTAACTTTTATTTTATATTGTAACTTTTTTACTTTAATACTTCTTTATGCATGCTTACGTAACATTAAGCTGTCTCTGGATCTGTTCTGCTGTAACAACGTACATTTCCTCTCTATGGGAATGATACAAGTATTCTGATCCTGATTCTGTATCCTTGGGCAAGATACTTAACCTCAAATTACGGTGTGTGTATGTGTGTGTGTGTGTGTGTGTGTGTGTGTGTGTGTGTGTGTGTGTGTGTGTGTGTGTGTGTGTTAGCTTCCTTTAGCAGGTGGCACCCTGCCTCTGTTTGAATGAATGGGTGAACGCTGTATGTAAAAGCTCTTTGACGAGTCATTAAGACGGATAAACGCTATACATGCAATCAATTTAGTATATTATATATTCATTAACTTTATTGGTAAAAACATATTTATGTGTATTAAAATGTGACTTTAGGGAGTTTCCACGTTCAGTCTCAGATACTTGATTGAATAGCTGAGGCTAAACAAAATGGTCAGTTTTCTTACTAGAGCTGATTAAGTTTTGTTTCTTTCTGATATTGCTTATTGTAGGTTCATATGTTGATATTTTCTTGTCATGTCATTTCTCCTGTTACACACAAGATACCTTTACCTTCTATCTTAAATACTGTATGTCACAGGATGGGAAAATCCTCACTGTATGAACACATTCATCTGCTAATAGACAGTTTTACTGCCACTGACTTTATTTAAGTCAATAATTTTCCATTTATCTCAATGAACAGTTAAATGGAAACGCTGAAAACACTTTAGTCAATAAGAGGGCTGCTCATCGTCATACTCAATCTGTCACATCTCAATCAATTTAGCACCAGTTTCATAGTGGTCTATCATCAACTGAATCATCCAAACGTTCACATTTCGCCACCTGAGCTGCTGTATTCTGAGTCTATAAAGTAAACCGTGTCCTCCCCTGACCCGCTGCTGTTCACCTGCAGAACACCACTCAGAGCTCAGAGGCTGTAAATCACTTCATAAATACTGCAGCTCATATAGGCTGACACCAGTTAATGAAATGCTAATTTAGTAGTTGTGTTGTATGTCAAACAACCAACGACCTAAAAAGCTGCGTTAGATCTACTAAACACCAAATCATTTAACCACAAAAATTACACATCTTTTTTTTAAGTAAAAGGAGATTTTAACTACATCCAGTCTTCTGTTTTCTTAAAGAGCCTTTAAACAAGCAGCATGAAGAACACATATTTTCAGTATGATAGTATTCCAATGTTTTGGTATAAAACTATATCTTGTTTACGTCATAGCTTATAATTGCAACGTTTTAAAATATATACAGTTCGCAAATAGACAAACTGTAACACCAAGGCCAACATTTGGACAAACGCAAGTGTGTTTGAAATGCATATTTAAAGTAAATGCCTGTGGTCAAATAAAAAAAATGAATGTGTCTTGGTTACTCTGAGGGCGATAAGGACCTAATATGCATTAAATGTTATTTTCAACATCTTAACAAACCTCCTCCTGTGGCCTGGTTTATGTGGACCTTATAACTTTCCTAAAGGGGCCCCGGGTATAAGGCCAGTGAGTAAAACTAAAGGATGGGCAGGCTAATACAAACCCATCCTTTTCAGACAATTCCTCTGACCAACTTAAAAAACCAATGGCAACCTCTAAAAGCCTGTCTTTGTCACCCTTAAACCCCAAGATGCTCTAAAACACCATTGTGCAGTTAAACCTCATAAATTTGTCGCAGGGACTGATTAAACATCACGGGAATTGAAACACTAAAGATTTTGTCTCGGTGCCTTTTGGGTGAGGGACAATGGTCCATTCAGGGGGAGACACGCAGACAAAAAGAGTGTTTAAGGGGAGATGCAGCGAGCTGAGGGGTTCGGCCAGTCCCCTCCATATGTGATACAAGGTGGCCCCAGCGAGGGGGACAAAGGGCCAGGTGACAGGGACGATGGGCTGCAGGGTCACAGGACGAGCAAACAACATTATAGGGGGCGTGAAAGCAGAAGACCCCCCTCGTCACTGATGAAATACTGACATGATCTTAAACACTGAAGCATATTTTTCATGGTGAAGCGTTTAAATTCGATTTTTCACTTTGAGAAGATGATATCAAACACGAGCTCTTCTCTAAATCTAACTGTTCACTGGAGTTGGTTTCACAGTTGGGGATAAATATGTTGTTTACATACACTGTACTCTGCTAAATGTGCTGCTTATAGTCACACAACTGTCACTTTTGCCTTATAATTGAGTTTTTAAATTGCTCTTGCATAGTTTCTACTTTTACTTAGTTTTATTTAGCTCTTATTTGTACTTACTTCTGTCCTTGCTGCTGCGAAACAAATGTAACTGCACAAGTGAATGGCAATGAAACACTACACTTGATCGACACTAAAATCTGCTGTGTCTGTGTCTCCAAAAATAGGGTTATTTTCTTGCATGTTTCTTGCTTTTAGTGCATTCTGCATCTCCTCAAATGCACTTGTTCAGTCATCTAGTAAAATATCAAGGATTAAAGCTTGTAAAAAGTCAATATCTTCTTTTAATTCAGGCCACTTTAAATACTATATCCTTATCAAACTCACAGCACAAACTAAGATCTCCACATTGAGTGTAGCAGCCGTATCTATCCTACTTGCCTCACAATAACAAAAGTGAATTGTATAAAAGGGAAAAGCAGCCCAGACGACAACAGGGTTCTGTGGTGAAAGAGGCTGTAATGTTTACTGGGTATTCTTAACCAAAGCCAGTCCTTTTTAGGAGTGATGTTTGCTCAGCTTTCGGTGCATAATTAGTTTTTTAACATTATAAAAGGCCTCCGGGCCCCTGGCATGACCTGCTACAGATTTTACATTCTGCAAATTAAATATGTTTTAGACTTCAACCTATAATTTAGAAAGCATTGAATAGACTTAGAGCTTTAATTGAATATAGGAAAAGTTATAAAATATTTTAAAAAGAAATGTGAAAGTCATTAACTTAAAAAAAACATTTTTACTTCAAATAGAAATCCAACAGTTGCAAAAATATGTGTTTGTGCAACTGTTTGATTTCAGAAATTGATGCAGATTATACACTTCTGGGGGATAATTGAAAAAGAAAGCACGTTATACAGTAAATGTTATCTTACAAAATATGAGAAACTTTTTATTAATAATTTCGTTCACAAAAAGAAACATATTACACTTAAAACCTTTAAGGAAAGTCTCCTTAAAGACAACAAATAACATAATCTTTCCTTCAAACATTCAGGCTAATAGTGGCCTAAAGCCTACTGTCCCTTATTTGTCTTCAACAACAATTATTTATACAAATATTATCAAGTAACAGCTTCACATAAAAATAATTATACATTATCTCTCCGGATAATTACAAAATCTACAGGCTACACCAGTAAGCCCATATGAGAAAATATCAGCATTTAAAAAAATAGTAAAATATCAAAATAAAATGTGCAAAATATCTTTCGTTCTATATTGAAAATCTAAATGTTTAAGTTGCTCGAAAATATGCAAAACATTCAGAAAACATTTGATGCAATTCTAAATGAGTTTTTGCATGGAGATAAGGCCTTCACTTGAAGGCATTAAAGTGGACCGAGTCGCTCCAAAAGTCTCTCCAGGCGAATCTGGAGGCCGCCACGGCGGGAAAGTGCTGCTGGTACCGCGGAGGAAGAGCGACGTGGGACGGGTGCTGAAGACTGGGGTAGACTAAGGGGAAGGGAACCGCTGAAGAATGAGGTAAACATCCAAGTTTCTCCGTGTCGAGTAAGCAGGTGTGAAAAGGTTTCCCATCCCGGACCAGGATCGGAACGACAACCCTTCGCAGCATCGGAGGCTGCTGGAGGTCCAGGTCCTGAAACAGCAGCCCCTCGGCCCGGCCTCGCTTCATCTTGTAGCGGTGGTTCTGGAACCAGATCTTCACCTGGGTCGGGGTCAGGCTGAGGACCCGGGCCAGCTGCTCCCTCTCCGGGCCGGACAGGTAGCGCTGCTGCCGGAAGCGCCTCTCCAGCTCCAGGGTCTGCGCCTTGGAGAACAGGACCCGGCGCTTCTTGCTCTTCTTGCTCCGGTCCGGCTCCGAGTCCAGGGACGAGTCATCCGGCTTGGTGGAGTCTGGGGGGGCCCTCGAGACTGCCTTCATCAGAAGCTGGAGAATGAATTGTGCATGTTACAAATTGATAAAGAAATAAAGGATATTTTCACATTTTTTCAAGTGTCTATCTATCTCTATCCATCTTTATCTATGCATATATTGATAGGTAGGCCTATATAATATATATCTATGGATCCTTCTATATCTATAGGATTATAATATATATATGGATCTATCTTTAAAATGTATATGGAACTATATGCATCAATGAATCAATGCATGTATATATCCATCCATCCTTAATCATTTGAAAATAAAGCATTCGAAAACATCAGTATCTATCTATTTAAACAAATTAATAAAGAATGTCCTTACCATTTCAAAAATAAAGCTAGAATATGTTAAACATATCTTTACATTATGGTGGAATCATGGATGATATTACAACAAATGGCATGTAACAAATTCCGCATCAATAATATGGTTTGAAGACATATACTTACACATGCAGGGGCTCCGGTCGCAGTCCATCCAGGAGCTGTAGGGCGAGCTGGAGGAGGAGGAGTACAGCGGGGAGGACCGCGGCGCTGCCTCCGCGTCCTGCTCCGGAAGGTCCAGGATGCTCCTCACGGAAAAACTGAACTTGATCGGTGCAGCCATGGCGTGTAAATCGTAGGTGCAATCCGGGGTTTGTTTTGCGCAAACAAGTAAGCAAGTTTATCCAAGGATGAGAAAAAAACGCAGCGGATCCTCTTCACTTTACGCACTGTCCAAACACCGGCTCGGAAACCAATGTGTGCACTGGGCTCAGTGTTTACACAAACAGCACTCCATAAGCTGCAAACACAAGACTTCCCGCTTATAAAGCCTCCTCCCACAGATGAGTACCTGAATGGCTGGAGTGCTGTCACCCAATGACGGTAGGTGCGGAATAAGAAGAGGAAGAAAAAAGCTTCAACAATGAGCGAAGGAAACACTCGTCATCATTACAGATTCGTCCCGTATCGTCAAACTGGGAAACAGATAATGGTAATTGTTGGAGCTGAATCACGTCTTGGGTGGCAAGTGACAACAGAGCCCGTCCCATCATCACACTCCCCCCTCCTCCTCCTCCCCCTGTCCTCAACCCAACAACGTGTCCAATATTTGCATACAAAGTGAGCAATTAGCGTGATGCCCGCAAGTTGGTTTAACTAATACGTCCATTAGAGGCGTATTAATTACAGCGTGAGAAGTTTTGACGTTTTATGGATGGTGGAGGAAACTTCCTTTGACATGTTTAGGTGAAGCTCAACAGGAAATTCTTTCTTTTGAGTTTTCTAGATGATTTATGATGATATATATTATAACTATACACATTTTCAAAATGGTAAAATATTTTCCAACATTTTCCAAGTAGTTTTTCAACATACTTTAATGTTGTTAAAAGCAAAGGTAAGTATTAATTCGTTTATTATCAACCATTTTAAACCCGTTATAAACACAATAAGTAAGTTAATGAAAGAATATTATAAGATCATATAGTAAGACAATACAAAATATGTCTGAATAGAAGGAGTAATAATGGCACTTCTGTAATAAAAGTGTGTCATGAAGATGAATGTAACATGCATGTTCATGTAGAATAAGGGCTTTAAAGTAAAGTGTTACAATAAAATTATAATTGTATTGCAGAGGCCCATTTATTATACAATAGAGAATGTATTGCGTTTAATTGAACACCCAAACGGCACCTGACTCAGATGAGAAATTGGATCAGTGACCGATGACTGCTGACAAAGATTGTATTAATTGGTAATCAATATAAACCATTAACAATTCATCATGCTTAACACGCAGAACACGGTGGCTTCTATATGTAATTTATTTTCTAGATTTGTATCTCTTTCATTTGATTTTAAAATGTTCAAAATCCTGATGCTATCATTCTCCTCCCACTCTGACGCCTACAGGCTGATATTGTGTCTCTTTTTTGTGGCTCCACAAATATAAAACGCATTAAATGCAAAGCCCCCCTGTATTTGATATTGATATCCACCCTCATCCACTTCAGCGAGGTGCATGAGGCCGCGGAGCAGAGTGCTGGTGGTGGACATCCCTCCCCAGGCGTCCTGGGTGGTCGGACGAGAGTGAACACAAATACATGCCAACCAGAGGAGGGGAACAAAAGGGGAAAATGTAGCCCCGCGTCCGAGACCCGTTGGAAGCATTTGTTCCAGTCAAGATTTTGCATTTGTTCAGTCCCGCAATAATGCCTGATTGACGCCCCGGCACAATGTCCTTTAACTTTGCAGGATAAATCCGAGCTTGTTCCGTGTTGTCATGGTTCTGAATGGAGCTGAATGGGATCTGGGACACTATCTACTGCTCTGCGTCTACTGCCACCAAGTCTATAGTCCGGAGCAATATTACATGTGTGATTCAAGACGTATTAAATTCCCTTTAGATAATCAGAGTTCAACCAAGTCGGTGACCTGTATTAGCAGGCAAAAAATGCTCTGAAATCAACATTATCTCCGGTTTTTACGCACACGTGTTTCCCTGCCAAACAAACTGTAGTTTAAGCAGATTTTATAAAGAAATATGCTTTTAACAAACACAGAGGACTCACTCCCCTTCTAGCATCCTGTCTGTGTACACAACAGCCTCACAGCGGTTGACAAACACCAGAGGATTACAGTACCACAAGTTTGCTGGAGTGCAGTTTACAGAGTGCACTCGATTGGAGAGCAAAAACACGCAAAGGCAAAGAGAAGTCATGTCCAAAGAGCGGGAATTTCTCTGTCCACAATGACACTTAATCTATTTAACACCCGCAGGCTTCACTAGGAGAGGGTCCTCTGCATCTCCCAAGAGCTCTCCACTGCCAAATATTTACTCTGTTGTTCAGCTCTCTTTCCCAATCCCTTTCTCAGCCAAATGGAGATTTTGTTCTCACATGGTTCTGGATTAAGCAGCTGAAGTGACAGTTCTAACATTTCAGACCTCAATGAATATTTTCAACCCTGTAATTCAACACTAAACCATGTGATTAAGTCCCTTGTTGAAATGAAATATACATTTAGACTTCCATCACTCCAAAAATGTATTTTGCTTATTATTTCAGATGGACGTTCGGCTTTCAGTCAAAATGTGAAAGACAAGTGTGACTTTAAGAAATTGAAGAGTGTAAAATAACTTTATTTGCTAAATATTTTACTGGGGGTGATGATCAAATGTTGTTTTGTTAGTGACATCACTTGGGGAACTTCAGACTTAACACAGCTCACTCTGGAGCATCTATACTTAATACAATTATTCCTCACTTATTTAAAACACCTTTAAACCGACTTTGAGGTTGGAAAAACTGTGAAAATTCCCCTTTAAAGTAAACAATTTAACAGGCCAGCCATGATGAAATAAAAGTGTGAATATGTTCCTGTATTCTACCTTTGCTTTACTGATCTAATTTTGAAACATTTAACTAAATATTGATTACCTTAACGTGTAAATACATCGTTCATATACTTAAAACTGATCCAGATTTTATATTGAAGCACTGTCGTGACCATAAGTGCTGTGTAAATAAATCTTAACATAACTTAAAACCAATATCACTGCTTATTAGTTATTTTAGTCACTCAATGAATCAAACCTGCACAACATCCCCACAACTGTCCTATTTGACTCCGTGTGTCCAGTGATAAACTCTGTATTGTGTCTCAAATTGTGAGCATGCAGTTTACAAGTGAGCTCGACACAAAGCTACAGCGAGGATGTTTATCTGATCTCAGACTGACTGATTACCCATCACCTAACGGCCACAATGCCCCCTCTGTTCCCCCTCAGAGCAGCACGATGCTCCAGCAGCTGCACCTGCCGCTGGTGTCCTCTCCCCTCTCCCTCCTGTAAATACCATTAGCATTCTGCAGAGGGGCTGCAGGGGGATAATGACCTGGCAGTCACAGCACCCTCTCTGCAGGAAACGGGGGTCTTGTGAGGCTGCTTGATCATCTAGCAGCTGTGTGTGTGCTGACGAGTGAGAGTGTGTCCAAAAAAGTCAGGTTTGTTTGTACGGTGCTTTAAGGAACAAATCTTAGTGTGTACCGATCAGATTTCCACAGACAAGGGGGAAAGTGGGACATGAATAGGAAGGTTTTGAAATCAAGAGCACTTAAAACATGTCAAATACTAATATAAAAGTATGTTTTACTATTAATTGTTATTATATGTGTATAAGTGTAAACTTCTTTCCATCCCTTTTCAGATGTTTAATTAAGTCGATTATTTGTAACTTTATACATAATTTAGAATCAGTAATATTTTTGTATTTCAAATTGACTGATTAATTTTGTATCGTATAATAATTCTCATGTTAAATTGTTGTATTATTGTTTTACACATTTGAAATAAATCAAATCTTATCAAGCTCCACATTTGTGGAATCAGCTTCCAGTTTGTGTTCGGGCGTCAGACACCCTATCCGTTTTTAAGAGTGCGCTTAAGACCTTCCTTTTTGATCAAGCTTATAGTTAGGGCTGATTAGATCCAGCCCCTAGTTTTGCTGATATAGGCTTAGTTTGTCGGGGGACATCTTACTTCTTCCTTCTCTCTGTCTGTACCTGTGTACTCTCATGTTCCGAATAACCCAGCTTCCCCAAATGTCTTTCTTTTTGATGTCTATATACGCCGGGATCCGGAGTCATATGATCATAGGTCCTGGATGGATATCCTCGTGGATTCATCTTCTTATTATAGACACATGCATTTCCAAACATTTGGACTACCTATGTTGCAAATGTATTATATTTTCAATTTACACACAGCATCTATTGCACGTCTGTCCGTCCTGGGAGAGGGATCCCTCCTCTGTTGCTCTCCCTGAGGTTTCTCCCATGTTCCCTTTAAACTGTGGGTTTTCTCTGGAAGTTTTTCCTTGTACGATGTGAGGGTCTAAGGACAGAGGGTCTAAGGACAGAGGGTCTAAGGACAGAGGGTGTCGTATTGTCATACTGATATTCTTTACAAACTGTGAAGTCCACTGAGACAAATGCAACATTTGTGATATTGGGCTATATAAATAAACATTGATTGATTGATTGAAATCAAATTAAACATGTTGTATCGACACTGAATCAGCATTAGATCAATGAAGTGCATGGAAAACGGATATAAAAGAGGATGAGGAAGATTGGAATGCTGCTTGCCTAAAAGCACAAAGTCAGACAATAAATACTAGGTTCAAATTACTTCAGAATAAATGGTTAATGAGAATGTAGATAACTCCTGTCAAACTTCATCATATGTCTGCCAATATTCCAGATGTCTGCTCTAAGTGTTTGGATGAGAAAGGAACTTTATTTCATTGTCTTTGGGAATGTCCACAAATTCAAATCTTCTGGAAGGATGTAATTAGGTGTCTGTCAGAGATGTTAACATTAATGTCCCTTTGAACGTCAAACTTTGTGTACTTGGAATATATCCAAAGGACTTCAAAACAAACCAAGCTTCTGGATTGTGGCCTTCTTCAAGCCAGGAGGGCTATCGCTTTATGTTGGAAATGTACGGATGCCCCATCATCACTGAGGATTTGGTTGAAGGAACTTTCTGGAAGTGTTGGTCTAGAAAGACTGACTTTGCTGAGGGCAAGCGGAAGGACTTTGTTCAGCTCTGGGAGCCATATATGCACATTATGAGGGACGGGAATGTGGACTGCCTCTGAAAAGAAACTGTGTAATGATTTCTGTTTGATTTATTTTATTTGTAGGCCTATGCTTTTAATACTGGTGCAATGTGAGGGTGTGTGTATGCGTGTATGTGTTTGTGATGTACTTTGTTGTTCAATAAGAAAATACCAATAAACATATTGTGAACAAATATATATGTTGTATCGATTAGTTGGCCATCACTTTTGAATATTTA